ACCTGGTTTTCCTTAAAAAAACAAACCAAACCAAATAAAACAACACCCCCCAAAAAAAAAAAAAAACAAACAAAAACCAAGCCAAACAAAAACCAAGCCCCAACCCTTTATTCATAGTTCTCGTAGCTGTGATAACTACTTTGAAAATATGAGCCTGACAGTCAAAAAACTGGTGAGTGAAAAGACCTCTTGAAACAATAGCACTAAGAGGTATGAAATACTGCATACTTCTTAAGGGAGTGTTAATTCTTAATTCGTAACTCCTAAACACAAGTTTAAGGGACATAAAGTAGGGGAAAAAAATTAAATGTACCACCAAAATAAAAGCATACTGTCATGGCTTAGCCCCAGCTGCCAGCTAAACCCCACAGCCACATTCTGCCCCAGTGGAATAAGGGAGAGAATCAGAAAGGAGAAAGTGAGAAAAAGATCTAGATAAAGACAGTTTAACAGGTAAAGCAAAAGCCATGTATGCAAGCAAAGCAAACCGAGGAATTCATTCACTACTTCCCATGGTCAGGCAGGTGTTCAGCCATCTCCCGGAAAGCAAGGCTCCATCGCACATAACATTACAACATCACTTTGAACGTCCCCCTGCTTCCTTCTTCCCCCGGCTTTACATGCTGAGCACAGTATCATAAAGTGTAGAACATCCCTTTGGTCATTTGGGCTCAGCTGTCCCGTCTGTGTCACCTCCCAGCTTCTTGTGCACCCCCAGCCTACTCTCTGCTGGGGTGGTGTGAGCAGCAGAAAAGGCCTTGGCTCTGTGTAAGCACTGCTCAGCAACAACAAAAACATCCCTGTGTTATCATCACTGTTTCCAGCACAAACCCAAAACATAGCCCTATACTAGCTACTATGAAGAAATTTAACCCTATCCCAGCCAAAACCAGCACGCATACAGAAGAGTGTATACAAGCCATACTAGTCATGGTTGCTATTCAAAGCAAGCGGTAACAGTAAACTCACTTTCTACTGACAGCTGCTATTTTAACTTCCCAAGCTGATACTGCCACTCAGGCACCTCTCTTCTAATGGATAAATCAAACAACTTAGCAAAGGGATTTTCAGATAATCTCTTTCTGGTTTATGAAAGTTCACCTGCACTGCAAGATCCCCCAGGAATGCGCTGAGTTTCTGCTAAAAAGCCAGCCACACACACTTCAAGTAGCATTTAAATCCCACAGACTGCAGACAGCCATTTTCCAAAAACAAATTATATGAAAAATGGGACCTATTTTGTTCTGCTTTATTGAAACCAGAGCCATCCCAGAATCAGAGGTATTTAAAACATTTATTAGCATTAATCATTGGAGGTTAAATAAAACACAAAGCCCCTATATTTTAGGGCAAAAAATATTATTAGGTATGATACAATTCATATGTAAAACAGAAGGTAAAAACAGATTGCAGCATCCCATACATGAAGCGATTGGGTCCAGCCCAGTCAAAGCCCTTATATAAACAAAACAGAGGAAGAGTACTTAGCAGGTGATTTTAAACTGACTCTGGCTTAAAAAATTAATGGTAGCATAGTAAAACATATCATCACTGTACTGAAAAAGTCTGATTATAGTCAGAATGCTTGCATATCTACTACACACTTATTACCACATGCCGTGAAGCATTAGTGAAGACGAGGGGTGACAGGAAACTTTTCTAGGTATAGATACAGCCCCATGTTACATTATAGCACTTTAGAGAGACCTGCTGTACCATGAACAAAAATAATCAATTCTTTTTCCCTTTTGATTTTTCTTAATGGGGTGTCACTTTATTACTTGAGTCCCAATTCTTGAAAAATAATGGCTTTTTTTTGGATGTCTCAGTCTGCAAGACAAAGTTTTTCTGTAATACGCCATTTTCGTGCATAAGAATGGCAAGTCAACAACTCTACCTATGTGCATCTCCATCTTCTTGCTACCTTCGATCTGCCGCTTTAAGTTCATAAAAGTGAAATGATCATTAACAAAAAAATGTACTTACAGAATACAATGTGCAGTATATGACAACCAGACATAGTGAAAAAAACACTACATGTCAGCATAACAATATAAACCTGTACTTATATACAGACACGTATATGCAGAGCATATATGAAAACTAGTTCCTTCGTAATCTTGTTTTTAAACTAGTTCACGACGAGCCAGAAAAGCAAGTCACCCACAACTGGACAGTCACAGTCTTGAGTCATGGTGCAAACAGGCTCCACCAAACACCCTTGGTGCTGCAGCCCGTGCCTCAGTCCTGCTGCCAGTTCTCTAAAGAAAACCAATCTTGGACAAATCCAGCACCAGCTGGCCAACCTAGAACTGCAGTGTTATTATTATTAGTGCTCCTGTACAGTAATATAGGTTTTTTTTCACAAGACATTAACTACCAAAAGGAATTCCAGTTGCTGCTGCAAGTTTTGACTCCAAGTCTAGGGTTTTCTTGTATGTCATTCTGGCCATTTATGAAGAGTACTGGTACTTTCCAAACAACACAGGCAACAAAAGGAAGTAAAAATCATCAATTTGACATTTGAAAATCATGATTTTTTAAACAAATTGTCCCCCCATTTGAAGAGGCATGTTAAAGCTGCAGAGGCAACATCATCGTCAAAGCTGAGCCCTGTCTTCAAAGAAAATATGAGCTGTTCTGCACAGCTCAATGGCCTATTATTTTTTCACTTGTGACTTCAGAGTTCTCTGCTGAAGCTCACCATAATCCAAATCTCAAGAATTTACACAATCAGAACCCTTACCCATTTAAGTCTTTTCCTTGACTAAAAGCAGAGTAAGGCGATTTAGATTTGGCCAACCACATTCAGAAATATCTTTGTGCCTACTTAGCCAGCATTTGAATTTTAAAATCTGCCAGAGATCCATTGCAAGAACCTTCAATTTTAACCTGTCTTAAAATATAACTCGTAAACCTGTTTGGATTCACACACATCTCAACGGCAGCTGTGAGAGCTGGTTGTTCAGCACAATATCCCATACAGATCAGCATCAATTGCCAGTCCCAGCATAAGTTAGAGTACACAAGGTACTTGCAGAATTGTCTTACAAAGCTTTCAGACATCTCAAGCAGGGTTTAATGAGTTTTGAGATGTCACATTAAAAAGAAAAGAAAGACTAAGCCACGAAGATTTATGAAAGCTTAAAAATGAGTTATGCAGAACTACTATAGGCTGAACTCAAATTTATGACACCTTTAAAAATGGGATTTGAGCTCACCTTGTTTTCTCAGTACCAGGTCTAGCCTTTTACTGGGTTTTATTTAGGAAGAACCAGATCTCTTGCAGCACTGGGTCACAGATCCCATAAACTGTATGATTCTGTGATGTTGATAAGCTTGATATTTCTTTAGGGCTGAAGCCAGGTTAAATTCTTCCTCCACATCCAGGTGAAAGTCCAGGCACCCCTGGGAGACCTGCTTATACTAAGATGGGATAAAATGTTCCCTAAAGGAGCTGTCTCCTTCCCCAGCTACCAACAGTGATGATTGCTGAATTTTCACTTGCATAACTCCGGATTATCTGTGAAATAGCTGCTGCAATGAAGCAGCACCACGGGTCATTTATCATCACAGGTGACAGCTGAAAGCTTACCTGAAATACCCTTTCTCATGGCAGCTGAGTCTGTGTGTTATCCTATTTTCAAGTACAAGTGCTTTCAGGAGTCCAAAACATAGAAGAAATGGATTATATGTAAGAAAACCATGCAGTTTAGATTCTTAGATAAAATCAAGTTGGACATTTCCCACCTAGAACTGCTTCAAGCCCTCTAAAGACAAAGAAACATTCCCGCTGATTTCATCTGGCTCTCCTTCAAGTCCTAATAATTAGTGCCATTTTATCAAAGCAATCTCACAACCAAGCAATAAGCTCTGGTTTTATGTATAAACACAGAAAACCAGCTCTAGCCTGCCTGTTCGTGATTTATTGTGGAAAGTTGTTTTTCCCTTTTGTTTGCTTTTTGTAAGCTCCCCAACAGAAGTACAGGGAGGTTAATTTTCCTCCTGAGAGAACAAATGAATGTTGTGGAATGCAGGCTAGACTGTGGTTTTGTAGCCTGCATTTCTTACCCTAGTTCTGATTTCCAATGAAATTAAAGATAAATTTGGATTTTATCATCTCAGTCACACATGTGCATAAAAGATGGAAGCAGAGAACACATACGATTTTACATTATTTCTGGTTCATAACCACCTATTGGATTTTGTTTTTCAATACTGCATTTTAAAGTGCATCAACACAGCGGATCTTCCATAGCACATCCCCATCCAAGTGAAGAGCCTACTCCAAAAATTCACAGAATTGCATTTGTAAAGAAACATCTTGGTTTGTTTTATTAGATTCCAGCCTTTGACTCCAAATTATATTGTGCTCTCTTAAGCTGTTTTTGTACAGAAATATTCTTCCAACATGAAGACTGCTTGGAGTGCAGCAGGGAGACCGCGAGGAGCGAGGCACTGTGGCACCCTCTGTTAGAAACCAAGGATGTGGCGTCTTTGAGCAGAGGTAACTTCAGTCTGGGTCACAGATGTGGAGGAAACCTGGTACGCAGTGGAGATTAAGCTGGTGTTTAAGAAAGCCCATGCCCCAGAAAGGGAATCATTTCAGGCAAAGCACAGTGGCTGCATCTGGAGTAGACTGGAACTGCATGGGGTCCAGCAGTCTCTTTCATGACAATTCCTTCTTCCACATACACAGCACCTCCTGACACAGGTTAACGTCTAGCCTGTAAAAACTGCACTTGCTCATCCTTTGGATCCATTTTTGCTCTACTTAGCAAATTCAGTCAATTTCTTCCTGATGTTTACTGATAGTACATGATGAAGCTACAGATTTAAAAAAACACTGAAGCAAAGTCCAGCTAGAAGGATGGCAGAGCAACTGTAAGCCAAAATTCAGGGCTTATAGGGTTTTTTTTCACCCTATTATTACAAAGAAAACTCTAAAAACATGCGAAGTCCACTTTGCAATGTAAGAAGATAAGTTTTTGCAGCAAATCTAAATTTTAGATATAAAAGGATCTTTTTATTAAAAAAAAAAAGTCAGTGGTTTGAACAGAGCATCAGAGTACTTTGACACTGTAATTTTGACAGGATATTAGAGAGGATTTTCCAACTAGGTTTTGCAAAATCCCTTTGAAGTAAAGCTTTCTGCTTCTGGGACTCGCGTTACTGCTCATGGGAAGTATTGGAATTACTGCTTTCAAGATAAGGAGCCACGTCAGTGAGATCACAAAGTCCCTTCTCAGTGAGAAAAGCAAATGGTGCTGTTTTTCAAGTAAATCTAAAGAGATCAGGTTGGGTCAGCAGCACCGCCTACCCGTCTGTGAAGTCTGCTTTCCAAGTTTGATGGCTCCATTGTTACCATTTTCATGAGGATCTAAGGGTGGAATCTGCCGACCTGAAACAGAAGAGGCAATGAATTCAATTTTCCTCATGTAGTAAACAACACATGCAGCAGCAGAATGATTTAGTTTGCATAAGAATCCCATCTGTCAAACTTCACCAGAAGACAGCAGTCTCCTGTGTACCTTGAATATTTTCTCTTGCATCCTGCTTATGAAAAGATTTTTACATTTAAAAACATGTATGAAATATGTCTATTGAGAATGCATGAAATATATTGAAATTATGTTGTCCGTGTATTTAAAAATACAGTTATCTTACAACTAAGAAAAATTCCCGGCTTTCTCCTAATTGCACCTAAGTGTGAATGGTGCTAGTTTAACAAGATCTTGCCTGCCCTAAATCCGCCTGGCATTTAGTCCTTGTACACAAGTTTTACAAAGCGCAGCAACTAAACGCATGCTGCCTATATCTGAAAAATGAACCTGTTCTCCTGACTGAATCCCTCCCTCCTTTGAGGGGTACCCATGCCTTTCCAGTTGACAGCTTTGATGACTTACCACCCCCTTCCCCACAAACTCTCCTGACTTTTTAATCATCTTATGGGGCAATTATTTTAAATGTTTTAAAGAATTTCAGCCATCACAGCAGAGCTAGAGATATCTCCCTGGGGCAGAAGGCACTGGTCCAACTCCCTCCTCTGTGTGCCCTTCTAGAACTGCTGCATCTTCGTCTAACTGGCTTCCTACTCATGGACAACATACAATGTGCTTGGTAATTAGAATCATAAATGGGAAAGAAGATCCTCCCAGGTCCAATCTATCTTCTGTCTCTGGTGTGGGCCTGGCTTTTCCATTACACCCATTGCGTGATGTCTCCATCAGTATTTTGGAGTCATGGTAACATACTTCTCATTACCTTGTAGATTTCCTGATTTTTTTTTCTGAAGTTTAATCTACTTCCTATGAATTATTCCTGGTTTTACTATTATGCATGTTAAATAACAAGAAGTGGAATATTTAACATTTGCTTGTTACACGCCACTTTCAGGGAGCATAACGATCCTGTAAACAGCTCATCATTATCCAGGTGGATTTTACAGTTTAGGTTTCCACATCCTTTGCTGCTTTTATTCACAGCTCTCTTTTGGCAAATGTTCCATGAATTACGTATCTGTTGAAGCCTGAGTCCTACAAATTACCTGGGGGAGCAGTTGTGGGAGGGTGAGTTTAAAGCATTCAGGTAAAATCCAAACCCAGTGAATCAAACCACAAAATTTCATCTGTAAAACTTGTCCTTAAATTACCTTTGGTCAAGCCCATCGAAATTTCACCTCTCTCAGTCAGTCTGAACAGGTATGTTATACAACAAACAAAAGCGTGCCTTCTGAAGCAGATAATCTTGGCTGTTTGTACAAACTGAATGAGAGGGGGAAAATTCCTCACATTACTAAGCTAAAGATAGTGTATTTGGTCCAACAGAGTGAGAAATGGGTATCTTGAGGGCTGAAGCACACATAAGCACTGGCACTGCAATGCTGCACCCTATTCAGGTCACTAAAATATCACCTTCACACCTCGCTTACATTGTTTGGACTTCACCACCTTACTTTTGTTTGGAAGTGCCCTTCAAAATGAAATTTAAAGCAGAATGAGTGGTTATAGACACAGCTGTTACATGCATTAGTTCTGCTGGCTTTGTTTGGAGACTAAAGAGAATCCACTAATTATTAAAACTGCAGAGAATAAGAAGAATGTTCCAAGAAGGTCACACTGTTGTCGTAGAGACCTGCAGGGAACTTCTGCATCAGGTACCTACTCTTTCCAAAATGCTTTCAACTCAATCCCAGCTACAATAAAACCCCATCATCCGACCCAGAGCACAGTGTAGCCAAAAAATTGGAATCTGCAGGCACAGTTTCCATAACATACCATTAAGCAAATTGCTCTCTAAACACTTGGTTCTTCTAACAGCAAGTTTAGAAGAGGAGAGCTTTAACATGCTAACTAGCTTAAGCCCGCATTAAACAACTATATTGCCTCTATTTGTTTTTCATTCAGTGTTTCATATTTCTCATGAGTTTCAACTCTTTTCTACAGTACTCTTGATGTGTATGCAAAGAAACACGCTAACTTATCTTCAGAACAAAATCATTCCAGGCTTCAAGGTCAACGAGCACTTTGTCTAGTTCAGACCAGGACACAATATATACCAGTAAGAATCACTTTGACGTATTTCATTTCTCAAAACAATAAAACCACAGAGATAACAACTACAAATAATAAAGAGAAAAAAAAATCTCTAGACATAATATTTGCTGATTAGTTATTCTGGCCTTTGAACTTCAGTGCTATTTGTCATTAACTAGCCCTGTTTCTGTTGTTTGGACACCCCTTGAATTCAATACAAGGAAATAAACATTTAAACAGTCAAAACTTTTTTCAAGTTTAAGACTATCTTTTTTAGTAGCTGAGTTTTTTCTCATTTATGATTTCTTTTGTTACCAGATTTATTAAACCCTTAAGTCATCGTAGTTTTAGTAACAAGACTTATCCCTGCCCAAGCAGCTTTTACCACCTGATGTGCAGTTGACAGGAGTAACTCTCTTGGAGTGTAAATTCAGTCTAACACCTGAGAACCAGCTCCATAGCAAATGATACAGTGATTTTCACCAAGGGTCAGGGGAAGCGAATAACAGTAATCAGTCAGAAACCTGTCTGATTGTGTCTCCCTGGGCCTCCTTGACAGCAAGACGCTGTAACACAGAAAGCTTTACGCAGCAGCAGAACACTGAAGGTGAGTAGTGAAATGCTGAGCCTGCACCTACACTTCCTTCTTCTAAACCAGCTCAATCAGTATTGCTACCTAAAAGTGCCGTGATCATCTGATCTTGTCATTCAGGTCTTGATAAATATAGCATCAATATTGCTGACACCAACTCAAATACAGCTGGCACCGAGTCAGGATCAACAGAGGTCATAAACTTAATTAATTTTAGAAGGTATATAAACATTTAAAGTGTGTATCTCACTGGCATACATGGTTCCAGACCAATAAAAAAATGCCCCTGTGTTAGATAACCTACAGCATGGTTATTAATAATTAATCAGTATTATTAAATAATATTAAATATTAATATTGTTAATAATCAGCATGTTATTTCTTTCATGCAGTTGATGTCAGAAAGGAGCAGTAGTGCTCTGACATCCAGCCCTGCAATTCCCCTACTGAAGGAATAAAAAGATTAAGGCAATTCTTCAAACTGAAAACTGCTCTGTTAAGATAGAGTCAGCTCAAAAGGTGCATGGGCGATTGAACTCATCTGTTGCTTAACTTGAATATGACAAACTAGACCACAAATAGAGTCTTTTCTCCATTTGGCAGAGCAGGACAGAACAGAACTAGCCAGCTTCTCAAAGGCCACCAACAGCACGTTTTAAGATTCCAGATTAAACAGCCAATCACACAGAGAAAACCAGATCTGCATACATTTACTTAAGAACTCTGCAGGTGAACTGGTTAAATAAGGAACTTAAGGATATACTATTATTGAGACAGCATAAAAGTCCCATATGGTTCCCAATTCTGGTATTTCTATGGAGGAAGACCAGCTGACTGCAATTTAAAAATTAGATTTTGCCCTTGTATTTATATCTGATCATATATTTGGGGTTCATTTTGCTAATGTTCGGACCATGCTTCACAGATTTCACGCAACAAAACTGTTTGTAACCATGCACCTCTACACATTTGTGCAGAGGCGTTGGTATCCTCCATGATCTCACTGTAGTAAACACACGATGGTGTGTAAAACAAGGGTCACAAGAGACTGCCCAAATACAGAGTTACAGAAACTGTCATTGTTCTGAAGTGAACCCTCCAGGTTAACAGGTGGGAAGCACTAAATTGATCTCATCTCCTCCTTTCTGGCATGTTTGAATTTGGCTGAGGCAGTCCAGCATGAAGGTCAGGGTCCTCTCCAAAGCCTGGTAGAATTCCAACTCCTTCTACTGAATGTGAGATTTGCTGATGTAAAGAGATTAATCAGCACTCTGGGAGTTGCAGTTCTGAGGGTGCCAAAGGCAAAGAGATTGGGAAATGGGAGGGTGGGACAAGAGATAAGCAAAATGGGAAGGAATTAAAATGAAAACTGGAGCAGGGAAGCCAGAGAGATGCAAGGACTGGGTGACAGCTCTGTGAGCAGAGTTGAAGAAAGGCAGATGGGGATTGCTTTGCTGCAGCTGGAAGCAGGATGCATCATCACAGTAACAAAATCTGCAATTTGTTCCTTTTTGAATGTGACGCTCCAGTTACAAGCTGTGGCATCCATTACCTCAGAAAAATTAGGCTTGGTGTTGAGCTTTTTGCTTTAGGTTTAGGGTTTGTTTGTTTGCTTGTTTGTTGCTTTGTGGGTTGTTTTTCTTTAACATGAAACTACTTTCATCACTGACCTGTACAAGACTGCATGAAAGGCTGGGAACAGTCTGAAAGCTGAGCATAAGGGACAAAACCCACCACTGGTTACCATGCTGACAAAGGGACAGACACAACAATGCATTGAACAGATACTCATTTAGGGTGAAAACAGATGTGATGTGATCAACCCAAGGTGGCACACCCAGATAACGAAGTCCAAGTCCAAAAGAAGCACAGTCTTACTGTCTAACACAGCTACAACAATTCTGCCAAGGGTCACAGGCAAGACATCACAGTGCTGCATGGTGGCTTTCTGCTCATTTCCCCCATCTATTCTCTTCCTGAAAATCACATAGAAATTCGTTTTTTAGGGGACTGAAGGATGGGGAGATTAGTTCAGGATGTGAGATCCATTTCACTCTGCCCTGGAGCAGCAGCCTGGCAGCTCCTACAGCTTAGGTGAGCTTTTCTCATGGCTCACCTCAGGAAAGGCAGACTTCTTCAAGTAGTTGTACAACAGCTACACAATGGCAGAACCTCCTCCTACAATTGCTATCTGTATCACAGCAAGGTGAGCCCCTGCAAAGCATTGCTCTCCATAAACCTCATTAATAAAGCACAGCCATTTGTGAAAGCATG